AATCAACAGCTTTGTCATTCCGTTTCTCTTACCAGCAGAGTGATAAATCAACCGGGATTTTAATCAACACAGCTTCTGAAATCCCACTTTCTCTCTAATTTTTAAAGTTCTTAAAGAGCAGAAGCCGAGTAATAATGCCTCCATGAGAGGTGGGGGTGGCAGGGGTGATGAAAATGTGAGTTTGGAATCTAATCAGGCCTCCCGGGATGAAGGCATTTGGTGGTTCTGACTCCCTTTTTCTCCCTTCCTGGCTCTTCTAGGGCCCTTCCCCATCCAGACCAGAGGTAAGGCGGTGTGAGTGTCTCTCCTTTGAGGACCCCAGAACTCTTCCACAGGGAGACATGCTGCGAAGCCCCCCTGCCAGCACCATGGGTTTCCTTTGTGCAGGTGCTGGCCCCAGCTGCTGTGATTTAGCCATCTTTCAGCCCCATGGGTCTCCACCCCTGTTGCCCCACTGCCCTTCGATAGCTTCAGAGCTTCTCAAGATCAAGACTTTCCCTGCTTTCCAGCTCCCCCCACCCCACTGCTGTCTCTTTTCCAGAATGTGTAACTCTAGTCCAGCTGACCTGCCCATTGTCCCATTGTCTGTCCCACCCTGGAAGATGCTCCCACTGTTTTAACGTGTCCATACCCTACCCAGCTCTAAAGCCACCTTCTCCAAGCACAGTCCCCTGATCTCTAACTGGAAGGAACAGCTCCCTTCTTTGAATTCCCAGAAAACCTTTTCTATAAAGGATCACAGTGAGTCAACTCTGCTTAGTTATCTGTGTACTTGTGTTTTAGAAAACTCCCTTTTGCTTGCAAGCAATAGAAAAGAACTCTTGGCCTTATTCCCCAGTTACCAAACGATCCTGAAGTTCCTCGTGGGACAACTGAAGTTGCCATCACAAAAGTGACCCACGTCCAGTAGCTCCAGTCTGTGTAACTCTCGGTTCTAAGTTTCAGAGTTTGGGGAGAGGGAATTAGATTTAGTGCATTGGTTCAGGAGCTCACCCATGAATTATCCACCAGCTATGGTCAGGGGCATCTTCACACAGCGCAGACATGGCCCCTGCAGGACCACTCTATGTTTGGGAGGAGGGACCTTCCCCAAAGAGGAGGGAAACACTGAAGCCTAGATTGCCCACCAAGAGGCAGCTAATGTAACTTGTCTTTGCAATTGATGGAAGAAGGAGGAAGGATGCTGGGAAGATGAAAACAATAGACATCAACTGGGAAGTGTTTATGGAGCAAGTGAGTCAGTGAGTGAGTGACTGATTCTGTTGTTGCCCCTTTAAAGTCCAGGTCAGTTTGTCTCCCAGTTCTGTATCTCTAGAACATGAAGATCAAATATTTTTCCACCCTCCATATCCCCTTTCCAATCATGTTGGTCTTGGAGCACTCCCTGGGAAGCCTGAGTGGTGAAGGCATATGGAGGCTTCTGCAGAGGGATAGCAGTAAATGTCTGCTGCTCCTTCTTAGGCATATGTCGGGCATGGATAATAAACCAGATACTAAGGACTGTCCCTCACAGGACTGGGAGAGTTCAGATAAACACACAAATTGCAATAGAATGTTATTAGTGCTTCCATGAAGGATGCACGGAGAGGTCGGGGGCTCTGAGGAACAGCTGATGAACACTGACAGAGGCTTTTCAGAGACATTAACATTACAGCCGGATATTGCAGGGCAAATAGGAGCTTTCCAGGTAGAGAAGAAGGAAATGGGATTCCCATCTGAGAGAGGAACTGTCTGTGCAAGGCCACAAGGGGTGGTAAAAGAGCACTATGTTTGAGAAATAGGGAAGTTGAGTGAGCCTGGAGTGGAGTGTGCTTATGGCAAGGGTGCTAAGAACTGGGGAAAGATGGAAAAGGGAGATGGGTGGGGAGGGAGGCTGGGGCCAGATCTTGGAAGCTCCCCATCTGAGCCTCAGGAATTTTGACTTACGGGGCAGGGGGATGTCGGCCAGGAGCCACCGATTACTCACACAGTAGTGTGACTATATGGGTCGACCCTATATAGGGTAGTAAGTGTATGTATGTATAGAAAGTTCTCCTACATTGTTGGGGGAATGGGACACATTGCTGCTTTGGGGAGCCAATATGGGAGCATATATTGAATTTCAATTCTACTCCTGGGGATCTGTGACATAGAATGAAGATACTGATATGTAAGGGCATATGTATGAGGGTGTTATAGTGGCCAAGAACTGGAAACAAAGTAAGTGGCCAACAATGGGGAAACAGGTTAATAAACTGTGGTTTATCCACAGCATGGAACTGTTTTCAGGCATTGGAAAGCATGTTTTAGAGCCCTACCGGATAACTCGGAGGGGTTTTCATGTTGAGTAAGGAAATCAAAATGCAACAAAATGTGTGTACATTATGGTCCCCTCTGTGAAATAAGTTAGGGTCAGAAAACCTAACAAATGTACATGTACTTAGATATGAGTCCATACAGGAATGTATGAGTGTGGAGAAAAATATGGAATGACACTAAGTTACCTTGAGTTGGCCAGGGCTGGTGGAGGTAAGGATTGTGGGAGTGATAATAAGGTGCAGAGGAGTAGAAATTGTCTGCAGTCAAAGAGTGCATGTCATACAGTCCCACTTCTGGAAAGTTAAGTGTGAGCTCATATAGACAGAATGGGCAGCAGGGCACTGTGATTTCAGGTGACTCTGTCTCTTTATCTATCTATGTATACAAATTCTTTACAAAATATAATAGCTATTTTCACAAAGAGACAGGGAGAAAGAAAAGTCATTGGTGAGTTTTTTACAATTTAAAAAGCAATTTACTATAAGAAACCACATGTACAATCTCCATAGTTAAACATTATAAGCCTTGTGGTTAAAAATTGCATTTAAAAGCCTTAGAGTCAAACAGCTGCATAGTTTAGAAAGGCCTACTCTTTCTCATTAAATAGCAGTAAATATGAAGATGTGATTTTAAGCATAGAGAATAAAAATCAGGTCTTCTCTTTGTCCCACATACAGCTCTAAAGGATCCTCCTACCCCCACCCTCCACTGCTCTTACCTCATGTCCTCCATCTCTCTCTCTCTC